CAATTGCTTCTTTAAAAACATTAGGGAACTTGCTATACTCTACCAATCAAGCCCAGTGACACTCCATTTATTTTCCATCACTCGAACACTGAAAAGTAAAAAGATATATGAAATCAGATCCATTAAATTCTAAGATTTGATTTACATTTCTAATTAAAGTTGTTTTTGATCATACGTATAGATAATTATATAAAAATTCAAAAATTCTAAAATTTCAAATACATACAAAAACAATCATATGTAAATTTTAAATTTGTGAATATTAAAATTTTATATTTTAATTACATATATTCACCCTGCGCAAGGCGCAGGTCTTATCCTAGTATATATATAAACTATGTTACATGCGTTATATGCGTCTCTAATTATTTTTCCCTAGCAAATTTCAATTGAACCTAAAGCTGCCACGTCAGTTTAATTGGTATGCTAATTGATTGACAACTAAGCAAGGTTACTTTTTAATTATTACAAACTTGAGGTTACATCTTTTCAAATGTTTCTCAATTAATATATAGGGGATTCTCGAGATCTCAGTTTCTTATTCTAATGTGTGAAAGTTGATCGTGACCCACGATACTCCACGATCATATATCTAACTATGGGTTAAAAATAACATTTGATGTGATTGTATATTGCATAGTAGTAGTATATATACCCCCTACTTGCCTCAGTAAGAAACCATCACATTCATAGCAAAATGAAGATCTCACTACTTCTCTTACTCATTTTCTCGTTTCTTTTATCATTTTCCTCCGCCGAGCAATGTGGTCGACAAGCTGGAGGTGCACTCTGCCCCAACGGCCTATGCTGCAGCGAGTACGGATGGTGCGGTAGTACTGAACCTTACTGTAAGCTGCCTGGCTGCCAAAGCCAATGCACTCCTCCTAGTCCTCCTCCTCCTCTTGCTCCTCCTCTTCCTGATCCCACCGGCGGTCTAACTGATATCATTTCAAGATCTCAGTTCGATGAAATGCTTAAACATAGGAACGATGACGCTTGTCCCGCTAGAGGTTTCTACACTTACAATTCATTTATCATCGCCGCTAAAACTTTCCCCAGCTTCGCCAACACCGGAGACACTGACGCAAGGAAGAGAGAGCTCGCTGCCTTCTTTGGTCAGACGTCCCACGAAACCACAGGTAATCACCAATTATATGTGTTCTCGAAAACCAAATATAAGTTTATGTCAAAATTTTCATTGTCTTAACAAAATTGACAATTCTAATATATATATATATATATATATATATATATATATATATAACAATTTATTTACTATTTTACAATTGTTATAAACCTGACTTTATATATGTTTTTTCTATGTTAACTGACATATGTTAACAAAAATGAAACTGACAACTGTAATATATATATATATATATATATATATATTTACTTATTAACAGTTGTACAAATATAAAAACAAAATTATAAATTAAACACGTCAATTATCGTTCTGTTTTAATAAAATAACGTAACAACAATAAAATAAAATGTTGAATAGATAACGTATATTAGACTAAGTTGTGAGTAATAATATATTAATGAAATGAATGATTGTATGTTGAAGGTGGGTGGCCAACAGCAGGCCCGGCCCTATGCATGTGCTGAAGGTGCATTGGCACAGGGCCCGTCACAATTTTTTGATTTTTTCAAGTCCAAGTTAGGGCCCGTTTTTTCAAAAAAAAAAAATTATATGAGAAATTTTTTTTTTGCTCTGGGCCCCTATATTACCTGAGACGGGCCTAGCCAACAGCACCAGACGGACCATATGCATGGGGCTACTGTTTCGATGAAGAGGTGAATCCTTCTTCAGACTACTGTTCACCGAGTCCCACGTGGCCATGCACACCTGGCAAACGTTACTACGGAAGAGGACCAATGCAGCTGTCGTGGAACTACAACTACGGACAATGTGGAGCAGTCCTTGGTTTCGACTTACTCAACAACCCTGACCTTGTCACCAGAAACTCAGTGCTGACTTTCGAAACCGCAATTTGGTTCTGGATGACTCCTCAGTCTCCTAAACCGTCGTGCCACGCTGTTATAAACGGTCAATGGCAGCCTTCAGAGGCCGACATTGCTGCCGGGAGATTACCTGGTTACGGTGTCACCACGAATATCATAAACGGTGGGTTGGAATGTGGACATGGCCCAGATGCAAGAGTCCTTGATAGGATTGGGTTTTATCTGAGGTACTGTGAGATCCTTGGAGTGAGTCCTGGAGATAACCTTGATTGTTACAACCAAAGGTCATTTGCTTCTGTTAACTCCTTCCTCAATGCTGCTATGTAATAAGATCTTTATTTCTAAAACCCATCTCGGTTCTTTATCCGAATAAAAATAAAAAATAAAAACGGATCCATCACAGATCTCCATTTGTTAGTAGAACCTACGAAATAATGTGGAACACGTTTTTTTTATTTTGCGACAGAAAGCATCGTTTCTTTCCATTTTGTGAAATTCACCCCACATTTCCCCTCTAAAATCTTTCTTAAATATATTCGATAAAGATGTTCTAAGACCATGATTATCTCGAGGTTTTTACGGTAGGGTTCTTAGCGGAAGTTAAGAACTGATAAAAGTCTTACCATAAAAACCCAGGGACCCGGGAATAATCATGCTCTAAAAACATATTTATCCCTAAAACCCATTTTGGTTTCTTAAGTTTTTTTCTTCTTTTGTCTTAAAAAAAAAAATTAAAACAAACTAATCGCGAACCATTATGTGTCAATAGATCCTGCAAACAGTGCAAAAAAAATCAGTTCTTAATTCATTGTTTTCGTAACCAAAAAGTTCCCTAAAAAATCCACTAAAAACCCCCAATAATCATCTGCTTTGTATCCGAAAAGGCGAAAACGATAAGGGAATACCCAACAAATATGGAGTTATATTCGCGATTTTTGTTATATGAAAGTTGAAATGGGCTTTTAAATGGGCCGAATGGTCGGTTTAAAGTGCCGACAGAGTTTCGCATAACGTGTCGTTATCTCCGAGCATCGTTTTCGAGTGAAACCTTAGCGTAGTATCTAAGATTTGGATACAGCTACCGGTTCAACCGAATTAAACCAGTCGAAAACTCCAATTAGCCACCTATTTCTTAAGCATTACAAAACCAAATTCAAAATCAAACCATATTTGAACATTATTTATAGAAACTATACAAATAATTTCACAGAAATTTTACACCTAAACTAAAATTAAAACTGTACCAACTAAACCAAACCGTATTGCAAAACCAGAATTTTGACATTTCGACAACTAAAAAACCCCGAAAATATCTAAAAGAAAACTCAAACAGCACCGAACCAAATAAAAGATGCAAAGCCGTTTCTTCTACTTCATCGTTGTTTTCTCTCTCTCCTCCATCTTCATCTCCTCTCTGATCGCTACTGATTTAAGTTTCTGCAACGAAGACATGGCCTTACTCGGCGGCGTTCGCGATGTACCTGCTAACCAGAACAGTGGCGAGGTCGAGAGCCTCGCTCGTTTCGCTGTCGACGAACACAACAAAAAAGAGGTTTGAGATCGTCTCAGATTCGTGTTTCCGCTTTGATATTTATCAATTAGATTAATTAGATCTTTGGAACTATTGCCTGATGGATGATGAGTAAACGTTTCTATATATGTTTTTGGAAGTGATCTGATGACTTGTGTTTTTTTTTGTTGTAGAATGCACTGCTTGAGTTTGGGAGAGTGGTGAAGGCAAAAGAGCAAGTTGTGGCGGGAACGTTGCATCACTTGACTTTGGAGATCATTGAGGCGGGGAAGAAGAAGCTTTACGAAGCTAAAGTGTGGGTGAAGCCTTGGTTGAACTTCAAGGAGTTACAGGAGTTCAAGCCTGCCTCTGATGGTGGTTCCCCTTCCATCACTCCCTCTGATCTTGGCTGCAAGAAAGGTATGAGTATTATTAATAAAGGACATAAAAGAAATCAGGAGATACTACTAATATGTATTATTTTGATTGATCATGAAAATTGTGTTTGTTTGTGGATTAGATGAGAATGTATCTGGATGGAGGGAAGTTCCAGGGGATGATCCAGAAGTGCAGCATGTTGCTGATCATGCTGTCAAGACTATTCAGCAGAGGTCTAACTCTTTGTTTCCTTATGAACTTCAGGAGGTTGTTCATGCTAACGCTGAGGTATAGCTTTACTTCACTATCTGCTATTGATTTTACTAGAGAATGTGTCATTGTTTGAAACAATAAGTGATCATGAAAATATCTATGGTTTCAGGTTACTGGTGAGGCTGCAAAGTTCAACATGCTTCTCAAGTTGAAGAGAGGAGACAAGGAGGAGAAGTTCAAGGTGGAGGTTCACAAGAACCATGAAGGTGTTCTTCATCTCAACCACATGGAGCAGCACCATGACTAGTCCTATCCTCTCTGTTTATGTAATAGTGACTGTTTGGTTATTATGTAAGATATTATAACTTCTGATGCTACTATTAAACCCTTAAATAACATACCAGAAGAAATAAATTTAAGTTGCAGTCTTTGATTCATACAATAAACGGAACCGTGAAGATGGCTTTTATAACAGAAGAAGCATTTTTTCTAGACAAACTGCTAAATGCTGCTACTCTATATATGTCCCTACTTGTGCTGCTTTGTCCTTAGCCTTCTTCGTCGTAATCTTCCTCGTCCTCGTCTATTCTCTTACCCAAGTTTGCTAACTGTGTTGGGTCAATTTTACCCAACTCCATAGGCCAGCCTGGATATTCCTCTGAGGCCGTAGCTGTGGCTGTATCTGCCGCTGCGACTGGCGTCAGTTTGGTCTCGTTTAGGTCGAGAGATTCAGCGTTGAGATCAAAGTCCATGCCTTCTTTTGGACTTTGAAGTTGTTGCTTGTTGTCTTCGTTTGATGCTGCAGTGCCTCCATCGACATCTTTCTTCTCATTTTCTCGTGGTGGTGACACTGACACGTGCATCTGGGTACTGTCTTGAGGAGGTGGCTGTTCTGTCATAGCGGTCTCCAGTTCCATCTCGCGGTTCAGATTCTCTCTTTCCGCTGCTTTAGCAGCTCGTCCACCGCGACCTCTTCCTCGTCCTCTCCCCCTACTACCCCTGCCACTGGGCTTAGCATTCCCCACCTCTTGCTGCAATAATTAGCAGAATCGATGTGAATGCTTCACATGAATAGACAACACTAAATGAAGTAACGAAGTAACTAAGAAGAACATGAACTCACTGTTTTGCTTTTCTTATATTCCTCGTCACTGTCATTTCCTTCGTCACTGATCGGCTTCCTGATTTATATAAACAATTTAACATCAGCTTGGCATATCAATCAGATAACCAGAGAGAGATCCAACCTTCTCTTGGAGATGCTGCGATCATCCATGGTAACATCACCCTGCCCCTGCCCCTGCCCTTGCGCATTACCATAGTCAGGCACCTTGCTCACAACTTCCCTCAGAAAATCAAACACGTTATACCTCTCCACACAATGTTTTCTGTAAAAAAACAAAACACCTTTCATAAACAGTGGATGCAGTAGTATCACCAAAAACCATACGAAGAAAAAGAACAAAACGAACTTTACACCAAACTTGAGTTATAAAGTTCTGTAACATCAACATTCTCTTCAGTATAGGGACTACAAGTTGGAAGCTCTTCCGCTTAACATCATAATAACTCTTAAAACCAGACTATCAATTAACTAAAACATCTGAAATCTTAGGGAAGTCAAAAATAAAAGCTAAGCAAATCTACTCCTTACAGATGCAATGAGCTAACAGTCTTGGCTCCTCTTTCAAGTGTAATCTCATAAGTACGATCACAAAGGTCTTGCAAGAACAGCTCCAAAGATTTCGCTATAATCACACCACATAAAATTTAGACCAAAAAACCACAAATGATTTCAAAACTAACGAATAACAAAAATGACTTACAAACTAAGACAGGCACAGCCAAAGCTATCTTCCCAACATCCTCATCAGCTTGCATAATCTTTTTAATACGAGCCTGCAAAAAAATTAAAACACAAACTCTTAAGTGTCGATAAAAAGACTAATTCACTAAATCAAATCACAATTAAACACCACTAGACATATCCTAAGGGTAAATTTTCGCTAGAAATGAGATTAATTAAATTCAAAATTCGCCAGATCGAGATAAAATTGGACTTATCGATTCAAGAGATAATCAATTGGAGACGGAAAAAAAACTTACAGCTGGGAAGCGAGTGTCGAGCTTCTTCCTCATGGTTTTGAAATCCCAATCCAGTAAAAAAAAAAAAGCTGAGGGCGAAGCTTATATACAGAGAAGTGATTGTTTCGTCTACGGAGACTGCCAGATCCGGTGACGGCGGTTTACTTGTTACTATCTCTTCTCCCCCCCTCCCCGATAGAAAATCAATTCTATTTAAATATTTAAAACACAAAGGTTAGTTTTTTTTTTTTTGTGTGACAACAAGGTTAGTTATTAATATTCGGCAGGTATTTGTTAGATTTGCCAGAAAATATCTGACCATACACGTGTTAAGATATAAGTGGATTATGAATGCTTTGTCACAGGCTTATTATTTTAAAATTTTAATCCACTTTTTTTCTCTTTCTATTTTGATAAATGGATAATGTGGCTTTGTATCTTTGTTGGTTGTGATTATATTGCTGTTTCTTTTATATAGTTTTAGTCCATTTACTCTAAAACAGGTTAAAACTAGAGTAATATTTACGAAGCTTTATATACATAGATGGTTTACGAAGATGTTACATTAGTACATTTTGTCAAACTAACAATTCTAAAATCAGCCAAAAAGAAGGATTTCGGTTAAGATCTATGGAACGAATACGCAAAATATATGTCGAATGATGTAATGTTGCAAAACTTGCCTGACCTTTCTAGCTAGAAAACTACTGAATGCATTATAGTTTTGTGTCGTATAATTATTTTGGAATAGTTCTAGATATTAGATGCATCAGAACAACACATGGTTTATCACACATCCATATATGGTGCGGATTTGTACACTAACAAATCAAAAATAAATTTGAACCCAACAACAAACGGACGTACAGTTAACGTATAATATGAAACGAATATCCAAAATGTACCAAAGGAATGTATATTTACAAATCCTGTCTAGGTCAATGTTTTCTCGTTAGGAAACTACAGAATGCATTATAGTTTTATGTGTCACATAATTATTTTGGAGCAAGGGATAAATCGAAGTAATAATACAATATCACAATATTATATATGGACAGTTGCTTATGGAGGGAAACATGGTCTGTCACGGTAGCTCCGTCTACATAAAAAGTTAAAAACTGTACATGACATCACACATAAGATGCATAGATCACTGATCAGACAAGAGATGTGGGAGATGCAAAAGGCTATAAACATGCATCTGAACCGTCCAAAATTTAACTGCACTCACAAGCTCCTTTTATTTCTTTGAAGATGAGCTAAATGTTGCCGTTATTCCCGACTTCCTCCAGTCACCAGCCAGTGAATTGTCTCATAATTCAGTTGTCTCATTGTAACTAATCAAGATCTTCAACGAGAAACGAGTTCTAAATCTCACTGGTGGAAGTGATCTAAATCACATAAAAGAACACGTGACTCTTTTGAAAAATAAAAATAAATTATACGATAGCTTTGAAAATAATTAAGTTAAATTTTTCTTTGATTAAATAGTTTCCATATAACCACGCGTTGTGGTCAGGTGGTCAGGTGTTCCATGGATCTTTAAAGAGATCCGAGTTCGAATTTGCACCACACTAAATTTCCATAAAGTGTAACGATCGGGATGTTCACTTTCTCTCTTTGGAGAATGATTTACCATTTTTTTAAAAAAAAAAATCCATTTATCAACACAGCATATCACAGAAGCTGGGATAGGCTAAACCTAGCCTACTTGAATCTCAACCAATTTCATGAAGATCAACGGTGATAATTTGCTATTGAGTACGACAAGAAAATCCAAAGAGCCTATATTGGACTTTGGATCTATATTTTGATCTTACGGACACAAATATAATTTCATTCTATATGTGAACTATTACGAAAAAAAGAGATGATACATATCCTGAAAAAAACAAATAAGCTATATATTTTGTGGAAAACATGTACTTTGGTGGAAGATTCTCTATCATATACTTATTTTAATCTTCCGAAACCGGTGATATTGCATCCAATGTAACAAACTCACTGGGACTATCAGTGGATCATAGTCAACTTCTTCTTGACCCAAACTTGGATACGCGTATAATACTAAAATAGTGATTATGAATTTAAGCAAAAAAAAACATTGTAAAAGAGCTTTAGATAATTAGTTCATAAATCATTATCATGAATTTTCATATTAGGTTTCAGATATAATCATAAAAAAAGAGATTAACATTTTATTTTTTACTAAAATGAAAGTTACCTATTTTTTCTTGTATCGTTTCGCACTTTTTATTTGTTTTTATAATTTATTTGATTTTCAAACAATATAATTTATTCGAGTTACAAAAAGAAAATATAACATTTTGTTTAGCAAGATTTATGTGCAATTGTGTTTAAAATTTGATAAACTGAAAAAACGCTAAATAAAACTAGTTAGAACAACCTAAGATATCAAATTAGAGTTTTTTATTATACTACATTATAGTTAAAAAAAAAAAGAACAAGTGGATAATATTTGATTTTATTTATATAGTTAGAATAGTATAACAAACTATTATTTCATAATACATCGTATAATATGACAAAAGATTCAATCAAGATAACAAAATCACATCATCATGAGATGATGAAGGACTTTCAATTTCAGCAGAACATCTGTTCCAAACTTCATTTGTTTTAAGAGAAACTTGAGAAGCAAAGCGTTTGAATTGATAAAATCGAAATATTATTTTATTCATCCCTATGTAACATTCTTTTCCAGCTCTTACTACCTTCATACAACAGTGTCTTGAAACATGTTTATTTGTAAGAATATCTTGAACAACTTCGGCATAACATTCCACATTACCATTGCCTATATTGCCTATGCAGGTTTTGAAATATGCTTTGTACTTTGGTGGGAGGTTCTCTATCATATGCTTATCGTAATCTTTCGAAGTGGGTGATATCGCCAATGAATCAAACTTACCGGGACTGATCAGTGATTCATCGTCAACATCTTCTTGAGCCAAACCAGGATACATATATGATACTAAAGTGGTGATTATGAAAAATGTCATGAAAATTGTTTTAGTTTCCATTCTATATGATTGATTTAACTTTTTAAAAATTGTTTTTAGTACTATTCCCATGATCTATAAATGTATATATATATAGCTATAGACTGGTTTTGAATGTTCTTACTATTGAGTTTTGTAACAACAAAACTCAAAGTATTGAATGTTCTTAGCTATAGACTGGTTTTGAATGTTCCTACTATTGATGTTTTGTAACAACAAACTTTCTTCATTATTTCAGTTAGCTATAAAAGTAACAGCTTACTTATTTATTTCAAACCTTCAATGTTAATTAAATAATATTAATTCTGTTTTATAATAATGTAAGGTTCTTAAAAATAAAATAATTTTTTATCTGCGTTTGATACTTCATCTATTTTACAAAAAAAAAAAAAAGTATTTTATCATCATATAATTAACAATTTATACAAACCTTAAACTTAAAGCGGCATTTTTCTCCTATTCAAATTTCAAATTAGAGAACCTTCGCGAAATACAAGTTCGGGACAAAAAAAAAACGCTTTAGCTATTTATATGCATGCACAAACATTGTGTGTTGATATAACCTTCTCTAACAAGCCCTAAAGCAGCGTTGCTTTGTTTTTTTTTCTCTCTCTCCTTCAAAATTTCCAAATCAGAGAAAAAAAAAAACAAAACCAAATGTCTCCAAAGATCAAAACCATGGGGGAATACAAGACTCACCAAGTCTACTTCATCGACTTCTTCGGACAAAACCTTGACGTCACTCAAACCGACACTCCCTCCATCATCAGACGATGGATCCACAACGAAGTCTACCTTCACCGTCGTTCACGCGCTTCTCACCCTGTCGTCGTTGGAGTCGGCGTGCAGTGGACACCGTCATGGTACTTCTCACCACCTGCGCACGACCGTGCAGCGGACACTCTCCAGCTATGCGTGGGAACATCAATTCTCATCGTCCAGCTCTCGTACTGTAACCGTCTTCCCCTTGTCCTTCGACGTTTCCTCACGAATCCCGACACGACTTTTGTCGGGTTTTGGAACAGTCAAGACGCGAGAAAGCTTGAGATGAGTAGACATCAGTTGGAGATTGGAGAGCTTCTTGATGTGAGGAAGTACGTGGCGGATTCGGAAGGTAGGAGTATGAGAGGTCGTTCGTTTGAGAAGATTGTTGAGGAATGTATGGGGCTTGAAGGAGTGAAGCTTGAGCGGAAGATAAGTAAGAGTGATTGGAGTGTTGACTACCTTAGTAAAGAACAGATTATTCAGGTGTCGGTGGATGCTTATGTTTCTTGTAAGCTCGGTGTTGATTCTCGTCTATGGCAAGTTTAAAGAGATGGAGAAGTTCAAAAAAGTTTAAAGAGATGGATGGATCAAAGGAATAACCTTTTTTCTTTGTTAGTTTTTTTTTTTGAAAACAAGATTTGTATCCACTCGTTAATGAAGACATTTTATCCCCATTTTTATTGTCTAATCTTTTATTTTGTTTTGTGACTAGGAATGAGCTGTTTTCACCTGTTAATCTATGATTTTTCTTTTCTTTTGCTAAAACCTTTGATTTTTCCTCTTCTACATAAGATTATTACATAACGGATAAAAGAGGTTTAATGTTCTTTTGTGTTATATAATTGTTTTGGAGTAAGACAAGAGATGAAGTAGTATTATAATAATTATGCAATAGAAGACTGTCACAATAGTACTTTCAAACAGTTGGCTATGGAGACAAACATGATTATACTACGGTAGCGTGTCCTAGATAAGCCAAATATGCAGGACGCCTGACGCCAAACAGATACATACAGTGATCGTACAAAGAGACGTGACGTGAGAGATGTGAAGGCTACGCCCTACCTGTATGCATTTCAACAGTCCAAAATTGAACTACACTCACTGACTCGTGTTACCAAGACTGTGGTATTGATTTTCTCTACTGTAACCGTTGACAATCTCATTGTAATCAATAGCCCTGAGCAAGAAAAACAGAAACCTAAAAACCAAACCGGAACCAAATCAAAATATCCAAAACCGAAACCGGACCGAAATTTTTAAATATCCAAATAGTTCATATATTTCTATACCAAAAAACTAAACTGGAATCAGAACCGGAACCGAACCGAGAACCGAACGGATACCTGAATATCCGAAAAAACAAATTAAAGTTTTTTTAGTATAAGATAAAATGACATAAAACTCACTTGAACCCAAGTTAAATATAAATAGTAAATACATTTTTACCACCATACCACATAATGTTTTAATTATTCTCTTATATTATAAATTATATATGTATTTTGATATTAAAATACAATAAATATTTATAAAATCAACACTTTATTGATTTGAACTCTTGTTGGACTGACAAATATGTAAGCATGTAAATACTAGATCATTTAAATTAACATATTAACTAATATATTCTGTATATATATTTGATTTATATATTAAACGGATACTCGAAACCGAATTAGAACCGAACCGAAACCAAATCGAAATCTCATAAATACCTATTGGATATAAGAATGATTTATCCGCTATATCCGTAATTGAATGGTTCCTATCCGGAACCGAACCAAATATCTGAATGCCCAAGTCTAGTAATCAAGTTAATTTCAATGTTTTGACAAATCAAAATCCTCCCCTAGATTTCGAGACACAAACCTATCGATTTTAATGTTGAGTTTCTATAATGTTTGCCTAATTTGAACTGGATTTACCTCAAATCATACAGTATGATTTTAGTAATTACCAAAACTGGATTGGATTTAACCACTTTTCAAATCATATATACGGAAATATTCTTATCTTCTTAAATTGTGAATTTTTTCATCAAATCGTATTAATCATATTAGTACCGGTGCATGATAAACATTCACACACGTGGAGACCATAACAAGAAAAGCTTCCCCTTCTCCCTCTCTCCCTCTCGCAACAAGAAAGCTCAATGGCTCCGACGATAAGAACCGTCGCAACTTACAACACTCACCAAAAACACACCGTCGATTTCTTCGGAAACGAGCTGATCGTCACCGTAACTTCCACTCCCTCCGTCATCACCCGATGGATCAACAACGTCCTATTCCACAACAACCGCTTCTCCTCTCACCCTCTCGTCGTTGGAGTCGGCGTTCAATGGACACCAGCTGGTCACCACTCAAACTATTATCTATGCGACAACTGCTACAACGCTGATCCTTACTACTACGCAGATCCGGAGGCAGACACTCTCCAGCTATGCGTCGGTAACCGTTGCCTCATCATCCAGCTATCTCACTGCGACCACATCCCCGACGAGCTTCGTTACTTTCTAACGGATTCTGGAACGGTTTACGTCGGGTTCTGGAACGGTCAAGACGCGAGGAAGCTCGCGAGGTCGAGGCATGAGGTGGAGATCGGGGAGCTTTTTGATGTAAGGAACTATGTTCAAGATTCGGGAGGGTGGAGCATGAGTCGTTGTTCGTTTGAGGAGGTGGTTGAGGAGTGTATGGGTTATCAAGGAGTGAGGCTTGATCGTGGGATAAGTATGAGTGATTGGAGTTTGTATGAGCTTGACCATGAGCAGATTCTTCAGGCTTCGGTAGATGCTTATGTTTGCTATGAGCTTGGTGTTTGGGTTCGTCTATGGGAGTTTTGAATGAAGAAAAACTGTTTATAACTATCACTAGATATTTATATGTTTGCTTTCTGCTTGGTGTTTTGTTTACTCTATGGTTTCGTTCATATAACAATGTTTGCAATGGGTTATAGCGGATTTTAACACAATGTGATTTAAAGATCGTTTTGTCAGTTAACTCTACATAGTTTGGTAGATATAACAGTTATCCCGAAATGCTGTTACAGTCATTTACTTATGTTTTCTTGGTAATAATCCCTCAGATTAACATGCTGTTACATCTACAATTAATATATAGTTGAGAAAAATCATTCGTGAGTATAATAAAATATCTAAGAAACAAAAAAATCCTTTTCTAAGGGCAACGCGTGAAACATTGCTTCTACTGAACAGTATCGTTGTTAAATTAGAGAAACATTAATTTCTTGCCAAAGGTATGTAAGCGCAAACAGTTTATAATATTCAATACCAAACCAAACTGTATACTGATACAACACTGAAAATCACTTCAAAGAACATATGGAAAACAAAAACTTGCGAAACTCTCAGGGGACATAACTCAAGTTAAACCACATCTAAATTTGAAAAGATTTTGGTTTTAGGTAGTAAGCTCCATGATAGCAGAGACAATATCTCCATCAGCAGCCTTGAGAGCCTTCACAGCTCTTGGCCTAGGCACTCCTGCTTGTGTCATCACCAACTCAATGTCCTTTGGCTCAACACCTTCCTCATCAACTTCCTCATCATCATCCTGCACCACCGCAGCGCTTGACGACGATTCACCCTTGATAACATTGCTGAGATCCGGAGCCTTGAACTGCTCTGCAGCTTGAGACTGCATCTGAGAGCTCAAGTCTTCAATCTTGGCCTCTCCGAAGATTACATACGTGTCTGATGCTGGACTCTTGAAGACATCAGGCTTTGATATGACAAACATGACCTGTATTCCAAAGAAACGTTCTATCATCAGAATATCTTATCTGAATAATGATTGAATGATTAAAGAAAAGAAAGACTAACGTTCTTGCTCTTTTTGACGGTGACACGGCTAACACCAGTGATGGGTTTCATACCAAGCTTGAGCATGGCTTTGCGACTCTTCTTCTCACTTCTACTTTGTTTTGACTTCCCTCCTGCCTCTCCATCTTGTCCTGTTTTCACCAAATCACAACTCAATATAATGACACAGCTAAATATTGAAAGATACATGAAAATGTAATTTCCATAAACACACAATGTTATGGTATTTTTGATTAAATGTATTTTTCAAAAGTGGTATCCAACTTATCATATTCCAAGTAATTAGTGTCTTACTTTTCTTTTCTTTGAAAGCCTCTCCAATATGGTTTTTATTTGAGTCATAATAAAAACTCAAATATAATTTTTACTCAATATAATGACACAGCGATACATTAAAATGTAGTTTCAATAAAACAAGAAGCATATCACTAGTGTCTCAATCAATGAAAGAGGACTTCTTACCTTCCGCATCATCATCATCATTATCATCGGAGTCATCATCATCGTTGTCATCATCGTCCTCAACTTCAGGCTTATCAAGCTACACACAACAGTCCAAAAAACCGAACAGATCAGACATATGCAATGTGCTAATCTATAATCAATAATCAAAGCACATATTTAATTAAGTTTTAACAAATATAATTCAGATCTAAAGCTGCATAGCTCTAGTGTTAACATATACGAAGCGAAACACTAAGATTTGAAGTGAGTGAAGTTATATACAATGGAAAGAGAGTAATAAGATAAATTAAAATTACATCGATCTTCTGTTCTTCTAATTTGGCGGCGAGGATCTCTTTCTCTTCCGTAGTCATTATGATACGTGTGTATTGAAGTTAAAGAGAGAGTGTGTTAGATGAAAGATTCGTGAAACGGTGCCGAAACCTTTAAACCCTAGAAGAATAGACCACCTCGAACTTTTAAATTTGGGCTTTGAGTTATGGGCTATACGCTATGGGCAATAGGCTTTCCTCACCCAAACCCATACCCGAATCCAACCCGAAAGCCGAACCAAATAATAAAATACCAAACTGATATTGAATTATGAGTTATTAGATATCTGAACTCAAACGGATAATATCCGAAGCTATATATATATATATATATATATATATATATTTTTATTCCTAATTTATTTATCTAATTTTATCGTTATATTTATATTAATGTTTATATAAATTAATATCATATAATATATATATAATTCTAAGAAAAATTATTTGCTATTTATTTAAAATGCATATTAAATTTCTTATTTCATATTTTAACAAAAATTACATCCAAAACTTAAAAATAACAACCAGATTAATAATATTCTATTTTCAATAATTTATTTTTAAACTTATTAATCGTCTAACCTATTAAATATTTAAAAATAATTAAGCAAATAATAAAATTTTAAATACATGAAATTTAAGCAGTGGAAAATTTTAGTTTTTTTCCAAATTTAAAAATCTGAAACCCAACTAGAAATAATCGAATTCAACTAAAAGAAATCAGAATCTAATCCGCTATCTAAAAAATATTCAGAATGGGTATTAGAGCTCAACAAAAACCCCGAAATACCCAATCTAAACAAGTACTCGAATGCTCACCCCTATTCGTTATTATAGAGTTGGTTTAAAATGACTAAACCAAAGATTTAAGTATACATCGTAAACCAAGATTTAACTGAATACTACCACTCTGTGCAAACCTCTTACAAAACCCTAACTTAATCTCATTTCGAATCTCGATCGCACTCTTTTAGCAATGTCTAGCCTTGGAAGAGCTCTCCTCGTGGCAGGGAAGACAAAGATCAACCTCCAAAACTGCCACTTCATCACCGGAATCAACTACAACGGCCTCACCGTTAAGCAGCTCCAAGAGCTCCGAGGAATCCGATCCTCCGCGAGAACAGCAACACGAAGCTCCTCGTCACAAAGAACACACTCGTCTTCAAGGCCTTGGAAGGAACCAACTGGGAGTCTCTGAAGCCGTGTATGAAAGGTATGAACGCTTGGATCTTCGTGCAAACGAAAGATATCCCCGCGGCGTTGAAGACTTTCGTTAGTTTCCAGAGGGAGAAGAAGTTGTTTGATAATAGGCCTGCGACAATTAACCGGAACCGAATACCCGAACCGGATCCGACCCGGAATAGACCGGTTCGGTTCGATTTCGGTCATGCCACAATTAACCGATGGGTATTGATGTTGATTATCCACGGGTATCGGTTCGGTTTCGGGTTTTACCCGGAACCGATCGGGTACCCGATTAAACCGGATTCTACATTTAAAAAATATAGAAATGTGCCCAGGAAGCGTCGAACCCGGGTTGGAGGGACAAATTATCAGGAGCAATACCACTGAACTGACTCAACATCGTTGTACATTAGTACATTCTACTGGTATATATATGATTTTTATTTTTATTTAATTTTAATTTTAATTTTATTTTTAAAAATAATAAAAATAAAACAAAATATTAATATTTCGGGTTTAAATTTGAATACCGGAACCGACCCGGAACCGGGGTGGAACCGATCCGGATCCGAACCGAAGTTTACTAAGTACTAATTGGGTATAGTTTTCTTATAACCGATTTACCCGGAACCGAATGGATCTTATCCGGAACCGACCCGAGTACCCAAAGTCCCAGCCCTATTTGATAATAACTTGGGAGGTGCTGTGTTTGAGGAGAAGTTGTATGGTCCTTGGGATTATAAATTTACTAGGTGAACGGCCCGCACGCCTGTGCGGACATTAATATAATCTATACATTGCATGAATAAAAAATAATATCAATGTATAAATATATTGTAACTTTCTTTCTCTTTTACATAGATATTCTGGTTTTTAATATATTTTCTATCTTACTAATTTCGTTTCTCCTTGTATTTTTTCACACATTTATTTTGTTTCTTATGTATCTCTATTTGCATTATTTTTGTATGTCTTTGTACACCTCTCTCGCTTTCTTTTTCTTTCTCTCTCTCTTAGTTGATCAAATAATCTCAAAATCTCTCAAACTTACATTTACTCTCTCACAATCACTTATATTCATTCTCTTACCCTCGTCCTTAATAAGATCTTCAATATTTCACTTAAAACTCTTTCTATCTCGCTTTGGTTGCAAAATTTTCACCAGATTTTGTTAAATCTTCAAAACACTTTCACATAGTATTAATAAATGATTTCAGAATCTATCTCACTTATATTCAGTCTCTCACTTATATCACTTTCATCTTCATTATGATCATAACCGACTCTCTAATCCTTACCAACACCATATCTCCCTCTCTTTCTCCCTTTCTTACATATTTTTTATTTATAATTTAATATAAAATCAAAACTGGCTAACCAAATAAATTCATTATCAAATTCTCTCAAATCTTCACACTATCTTATCAAACATTAATTCATTTCACCAAGATTTTCATTGAAAACATAAATATCTAAAAAATATATTAATTTTTTTAATTACTTTATTACATACATATTTTAAGTAAATCTAAAGAACTGTATTTCAAAAAAGTAAATTTGATTAAATAATTATATAACATAAAATATCTTAATTCTTAAATGATGTGATGTCATTATTTTATACATAGATTAATATAAACGTGAGATTCAACAGTTTTAATATATAAAAATAACATGTTTTTAGTTGTATAAATTTTGATATAACTTTGTTATCATATATTTTAAAAGTTTATTACACCGCAAAAATATTTATCATTATTTTAAAATAATTTATTTTAAAATTTTTTTGCATTATATTTTCCATCTTCAACAGTAACAATTTTATAACTTATCATTTATATTTATCTTCCTTGCTCAATTTTTCTTTATGTTGTATAAACACCTAAAAATAATTAGTTTACAATTATATTAATACGTAAAAAAAATATTTTGGTATACAATAAAAAATTATGTATGTACAAATACAAATAACGAAGAATACAACAAAAGGTTTTATTATTATTCACTCATGTTTTTATTTATGTCTCTTTTCTTTTCTTTTTCTTATTAAAAATAAACATGCCAATTTTATTATACTTAAATCTATATGAATTATATGCATAGAATATTAACTCTAGTCTTGTATTAATATAATGTTTTGATTTTTTGTAATTTTATATTCTAATAAAATTTTTCATTTATTCATATTTTTTAAAATTACATACCATATAATTTTCTGTTTTAAATAAAAAAATACTTAAATAATTTTTGAAAGTGATAACTCAACTATACTATCAACATTTCTTTCTGGGAAATGATAAAAAAAATTTTAAAATTTTACATTTGACTGGTTTGCATTCATTGAACATATTATAAGAATACATATATATAGTGAGTTAGTATAAAAATATTATTAGTTTTCTGTAATGTATGATTTTTTATCCATTATTAATAGAAAAAATTTAAAATCGTTTATATACTTATTTCTATAATATAATATGTATTTATATGTATATTCTAAACTTTTATAATGGAATATGTGCTATTTAATTGTTTCTATAAACAAATTCTATTAATCATATGTATTTAAGATGGTTAATTGTTTGTTTGGTAATATATATTAGATTAGGTAATTCTAGGATTAGTTTCCTTTTAAAAAATTTTAATTAAATAAATAAAAATTCAAATGCCAACAACCAATCAAATTAAGAGAATTAATTCTACATTGCACCTATGAATGACACGTAAGCAAAATTTCTTAAAGTGACTTCTCTTTCAATACATAGGGGGATGTTTTGATTTTTTGTAATTTTATATTATAATAACTTTTTAATTTATTCATATTTTTAAAAATTACATACCATATAATTTTCTGTTTTAAATATAAAAATATTTAAATAATTTTTGAAAGTGATAACTCAAATATACTATCAACATTTATCTCTGGAAAATGATAGAATTTTTAAATTTTTTTACATTTGACAGTTTTGCATTAATTGAACATATTATAAGAATACAATATATAGTGAGTGAGTATAAAAATATTATTAGTTTTCTGTAATGTATGATTTTTTATCCACTATTAATAGAAAAAAATTTAAAATCGTTTATATACTTATTTCTATAATATAATATGTATTTATATGTATATTCTAAATTTTTATAATGAAATATGTGTTATTTAATTGTTTCTATAAACAAATTCTATTAATCCCATGTATTTAAGATGGTTAATTGTTTTTTGGTAATATATATTAGATTAGGTAATTCTAGGATTAGTTTCCTTTTAAAAAACTTTAATTCAAATGCCAACAACCAATCAAATTAAGAGAATTAATTCTACATTGCACCTATAAATGACACATAAGCAAAATTTATTAAAGTGACTTCTCTTTTAATATATAGGGGGATTCTAAATTTTTATAATGAAATATGTGTTATTTAATTGTTTCTATAAACAAATTCTATTAATTATATGTATTTAAGATGGTTAATTGTTTTTTGGTAATATATATATAAGATTAGGTAATTCTAGGATTAGTTTCCTTTTAAAAAACTTTAATTAAATAAATAAAAATTCAAATGCCAACAACCAATCAAATTAAGAGAATTAATTCTACATTGCACCTATAAATGACACATAAGCAAAATTTATTAAAGTGACTTCTCTTTTAATATATAGGGGGATTCTATGTATTTAAGATGGTTAATTGTTTTTTGGTAATATATATAAGATTAGGTAATTCTAGGATTAGTTTCCTTTTAAAAAACTTTAATTAAATAAATAAAAATTCAAAGGCCAACAACCAATCAAATTAAGAGAATTAATTATACATTGCACCTATAAATGACACATAAGCAAAATTTATTAAAGTGACTTCTCTTTTAATATATAGGGGGATTATTTACCATGACAAGGGCCTTGATGTTATCTCTTGTGAGTTTAAATGAATCAGTAGATTTACCGTCATTCTCACCGCTGTAAAACGCCATTAATTCATCGACCATGTCATCCTCGAAGCCGTCATCGTCTTGTTTTCTTGTATTCTTCTTTTCGATATGTGCATCGATGATGATGTCTATGAACCCATCTAGCGATTCTCTAGCGTTTTCCAACCGCTTGGTGAAATCGCGGTTACTAAACCATTTCATCCACGGTAAGAATTCAGTGATATCAAACGCTCCAAAGAGTTTAGAGAACTCTTGTAGAATCTTGACGAATTCGTCTTGACCGTCGCGAGCGAAGGAGCCAAACGCGGCTCGGTACGTTATGTTCCGCGTTAAAGCGAACACAAGCTCGCCAACGTTAACCGGTGAACCGGTTTGTTTAGTTAGAGTTTGAACCATCGTATTAATTTCGTCGCGAACTGAGGCCCATGATTCGGCCCGTTTTCTGCTGAAAAGCTTCATAACGCAAACCTTTCTCATTTGACGCCAGAGTGGACCGTAATTCGCAAACGCCATATCCGCCCGGTTGTAAGTGAGATATGAAATCGCCACGTTAGCTGGCCGGTTTGCGAAAACCACATCATGAACCTAACGTAATTCACTGTTTGAGATGAATTTTGTTTTACAAAAACTATAGATTCACTGTTATCCTATCCAAATGTTTAGAAGATTATTTAAATTATCTAAATAATTTCTAAACCGTAGAAAATTGCATACCTGAAGAATTTCACGGGCCATCTCAGCTGTTGAAGCAGCAACAATATGAATTCTACCCATCTGAAGGTGAAAGAGACCACCGTATTGTTTGGCTAGCTCGGCCAAACCACGATGATTCAACTGATTCTTTAGTTTCATGTTACCGATTATTGGATAGCCTTTTGGGCCAGGTGGAAATGGATTTCTACGAGGTAACAAAACTCTAACTAAACACAAAAGAAATATAAGAACTACATATAAAATTGGTGAGCAAAGCAAACAATCCATCTTTTATGTTTTCTTCTTTCCGATACACAGAGTAAAAAGATGGTGAAGAGGTTTTTGGTATATGTTATATACACATGAATCATGACTGTATATTCTGTATATTTGATTTGTTAGTACATGCTCCAATAAAAATGAAAGATTTGTTTCCGTTTTGGGTATTTAAAAGAGGAACATCTTTGATAAAGAAAACAAGTCAATAGTCAATATTCCAGTAAAGATAAAAATCAATATCCCAATAAGAATAACAATATTTAGTTTGAATAGGCAATCTACCAATGGGAGAATTCAAGATTTGCAATAAAGATCAATAGATCTACGAGTTTGAGAATTATATACAAATATTTAAAATTTTACTTTAGTATATGTAGTTTGTAATTGTAAATGATATTAATGTAGATTTTCTAAGTCAAAGCATACGTGTCGAACACAACCATTGTCTGTTGATAATAGTTTTGATCAAACCAGATACGATTATTGAGGAAACGAACTCTAAATATTTCTTTAGTACTGAAGTCAAAAAAAAAATGGAAATAATCTAACAAAAAGAAAGAACGTATGGATATAATCAAACGAAAAGAACGTGCATGGTTACGCTTTGTAAGACCAACTACGTAGCTTTCTCAAGATTTACATGACAGATCCATGATAGTACAGTTATTTGAGTTTGAATACAATCAACAAATAAATTTATGCAAATTGTTTTCTTTTATACCATTAAAAAGATGAATTAAAAATTAAGTCTTGGATGAGGAGTGACGGCCGGGTACAATATAAACGCATCTGATGTCAAAAAAAAAAAAAAAAAAACGCATCTTTGGTGCTATTGTGTATATCCGATCGTAGATACATTAATGGTCTAAATTTTAAAAGAGTATTAAATTTTATTTTAGTATATATTTAGTTTGTAAATGATATGAATGTATGATGTTGCTTGATACTATTCTTTAATGATGCAAGTAGGGTGGTCTCCAAACGCAGTTGCCTTAATCTGATCAGAACCTATCTCCAACCGCAACTTGGTTTCATCGCATTCATAGCTCACCGTTCCTTTCTTTGTCTCCTCTCTACAATCCGTTAGAGACAACCGTGATCCAAACTGCAATTCATTCCTCTCTTTGATAGCCTCCATAATCTCTTTCCCAACCGCGCCGCTCAAAGCTTCTCCAGTAGCAACCGCTGACACGCTAAGAAGCTGAGGCGTGTCTCGTTCGAGGTCGTTGTAACTACCAAACCATACATAGGATACGAAAGTCAGTAAAAAAAACTAATAATACTAAAACGGTTTCAAACAAGAAGAAAATCATTATTATAACCTATGAATAGAGGAAGTAACAAGAGTGACATTCTTGTAAAGGAAAGAAGCTTGGAGGTTTCCTTGAAGACATATATCATTACCAACAAGTTTTCCGGGGACTCTTATCACTAAATCCCATCTAGCACTAACCAGAGGGAGATAATGACCTTGTTGTGTGCTACTTTTATTATTAATATTAGGCTCAGCCGTGAAATCCATAGAAATTATTTTGATATCGCGATGAAGCTGGGTGGCTAGTCCTAGTAAAGTTGAAATGATTAAGTAGAAGACGATGAAGAAACTTAGGACAACACAAACGGGGAAGCCGAATGGTTCCGGGTAGACGAATGGTTCCGCGTCTTTTCTCCGCTGTGCTATCTCTTCTGGTGTTAAATCAGGATGCATTTTTATGAGCGTATCTTCTAATGTATCTGGTTTCATCATGTTTTAAGTTTTTTTTTTTTACTTTTCAAGAGAACAACAGAGAGAGAGGGTCGGCTTTACTATCTTTCCTCTCCAGAAGAGAAAGCAAAAATAATTAGAGAAGGTTTGATTGTTCATCATATATATATATATTATTATTTGAGAAATAAATTTATTTAATTGATAAGTAAATTTACTTAGTTAATAAGTAAATTTGATGATTTGTCATCTTCTCCATAAATTTAAGTAATTTATTTATTTGTTGTTTTTATGATTTTTGACTCATGATTAATTACTACCATTATTGAATAATAAAACTTATTAATATATAATTAACTATAAATTAAATATTGTTATGAATATTGTGGTGATGTCCATATGGAAAGTCTAGATATACTTGTTTTCTAATCCAAACTAAATTTTGTACCCAAGCTATTATAATTAATCTCTATACTAGGTGGACGGCCCGCACGCCTGTGCGGACATTAATATAATCTATACATTACATGAATAAAAAATAATATAAATGTATAAATATATTGTAACTTTCTTTATTTTTTACATAGATATTCTGTTTTTAATATATTTTTCTATCTTACTCATTTCGTTTCTCTTTGTATTTTTCCCACATTCGTTTTGTTTCTTATGTATCTCTTTTTGCATTATTTTTGTATGTCTTTATACACCTCTCTCGCTCTCTTTTTCTTTCTTTCTCTCTCTCTTAGTTGATCAAATAATCTCAAAATCTCTCAAACTTACATTCACTCTCTCACAATCACCTATATTCATTCTCTTACCCTCGTCCTTAATATGATCCTCAATATTTCACTTTAAAACTCTTTCTATCTCCCTTTGGTTGTAAAATTTTCACCAGATTTTGTTAAATCTTCAAAACACTTTCACATAGTATTAATAAATGATTTCAGAATCTATCTCACTTATATTAAGTCTCTCACTTATATTCACTTTCATATTCATTATGATCATAACCGACTCTCTAATCCTTATCATCACCATATCTCCCTCTCTTTCTCTCTTTCTTACATATTTTTTGATTTAGAATTTAATATAAAATCACAATTGGCTAACCAAAAAAAAGCATTATCAAATTCTCTCCAATCTTCACACTATCTTATCAAACATTGATTCATTTGACCAAGATTTTCATTGAAAAAAATAAATATCTTATTATTAATTTTGTTTTTTAATTACTTCATTACATACATATTTTAAGTAAATCTAAATAACTGTATTTCAAAAAATTAAGTTTTATTAAATAATTATATAACATAAAATATCTTAATTCTTAAATGATGTGATGTCATTATTTTAGACATAGATTAATATAAACATGAGATTCAACAGTTTTAATATATCAAACTAACATGTTTCTACTTGTATAAATTTTGTTATAACTTTGTTATCATATATTTTAAAAGTATATTTACACCGTAAAAAATACTTATCCTTATTTTAAAATAATTTATTTTAAATTTTTATTTGCGTTATATTTTGCATCTTCAACAATAACAATTTTATAACTTATCATTTATATTTATCTTCCTTTCTCAATTTTTATTTATGTTGTATAAACACCTAAAAATAATTAGTTTACAATTATATTAATACGTAAAAAAATATTTTGGTATACAAATAAAAAATCATGTATGTTTAAATACAAAATAACGAAGAATACAACAAAAGGTTTTATTATTATTCACTCATGTTTTTATTTATGTGTCTTTTCTTTTTTTCTTATTAAAAATAAACATGCCAATTTTTTATACTTAAAGCTATATGAATTATATAAATAGAATATTAACTCTAGTCTTGTATTAATATAATGTTTTGATTTTTTGTAATTTTAAATTATAATAAATTTTTCATTTATTTATGTTTTTTAAAATGACATACCATATGATTTTCTGTTTTAAATATAAAAATACTTAAATAATTTTTGAAAGTGATAACTCAACTATACTATCGACATTTATCTCTGGAAAATGATAGAATATTTTTAAAATTTTACATTTGACTGTTTGCATTCATTGAACATATTTTAAGAATACCTATATATTAAAAGAGAAACATTTAAAAAATTGTAACCTCAATTTTGTAATAATTAAAAAAGACCCCATGCTTAGGTGTCACTCAATTAGGTAGTCAATTAGATTCAATTGAAAAATAAGTAGGTCCACATTCAATTTTTATATGTCGCTAGATATATTCATTGGTCAAACTATATGATATGATGATATGATATGATATTTACCATAGAAGCATTTATGATTGTTCCGCTAGATATAATTACTATTTTATTTTCTTTTCTTAAATAAAACCTACGGAATTACCATAAATGACTAATATATATATGACAATTAATGATTCTAATAATAAATATTTGATAACAATTTATATCTCCTCCATCATTTCGTATTTAATTTTATATTGTTAAAATCATTAAACAATCAAATCTATTATATAAAGTAAAGCATCCCTCCTCCTTAAGGTGCCACCTAGGATGCCATGTCACAAAGTCCATGTCAGCATTTTCGTCTTGGTCCTCAATTGTTTGGGCTTTACCTTATTATTATGTCTCTTTTTGTATTGTTATGGCCCAATTGTTTGGTTTCTCTATCGATAGAGACACGAGATGACGCCGTCTTATGCCGCCTTCACCGACTTCGAAAGGTTGATTGGTGATCTTAGTTTAATACAAAAGCTTTGATCATAATGATTTGGTACTTAATTGTGATTTCGATTTACCTTTGTATGATTGAAAAAACTCTTTTTTTTTTTAATTGTGATAGGTGCAAAGAGATTGATTGGTCAGAGATTTTGTGATGCGAGCGACATGAAGCTATGACCTTTCAAGATCAGCCCTGGTCCTGCCGACAAACCCATGATTGTCGTCTCCTACAAAGGAGAAGAGAAAGTTCGCTGTCGAGGAGATCTCTTCCATGGTTCTCATCAAGATGCGTGAGATCTCTGAAGCTTATCTTGGTGTTGCTATCAAGAACGTTGTGGTCACTGTTCCAGCTTACTTCAGTGACTCTCAGCGTCAAGCTACAAAGGATGCTGGTGTGATCACTAGGTTTGAATGTGATGCGTATCATCAACGAGACCTCTGCTGCAGCCATTGCTTATGGTCTTGATAAGAAAGCTACCAGTGTTGGAGAGAAGAACGTTTTGATCTTTGATCTTGGTAGTGGTGGTACTTTTGATGTTTTTCTTCTTATTATTGAAGAAGGTATAATGTGTATTGATCCTCAGATGTATGAATCTGAGTCTATATTTCCATTGTTTTATGATTTTATATCCAGACCAAACAACTTCTGCCTCTTTGTTTTAAAATTCTTGACACTGGTATGTTATTATAATATGTTACAGGGACTATTATGCAGGTGAAGATGATCGTCTTTCATCGTTCTGTTGGCTTCCTCCTCTTTGGAAACGTGTAAAACTGATCCTAAGTAAACAATCCTAATATTTTTGGTATCACGTTGAATGAGCATTTTTGGCTTATTTTCTCCTAAAGTGAACTACAAAGTGGAAGCTTTAAACTGTTCCGAGTAATGTATAGCACATGTGTCTTCTGGTGACAGCAACTTCTAACGTAAAATATTTCAATCTCCGAATTTTGTATGGCTACTGAGATAGAGAGGACAGAAAAGAGGATAAATAAAAACAGAGAGTTGCAGTACTTAACGAATTAGA